GTTGCTTGATTTGTGCGAAAAAAGTAGACTAAGATTAGCCAGCAAGTAATTTAAAGACATATGCAATAATACAACGGTGAAGGAAAAGAAGTAAAAAAAAAAAAAAAGAGCAGAATATCCTCCCTTTTCACACATAGATCTATCAATATTATACACATAGATCTATTCCTACTCCTACATAATGGAGAAGGGAACAAATCCAACTAGATTATAGATAGCGTCATTCGGGAGTTCACATCCACTTTTTTAATCCATTAATTTTAGTTTTGATTTTTTTAACGGGTGTCTAATGACACACGTTAACTCATTTAAATTTCATCCAATCTAATTTATATATGCACATACCAATAATAATTATTTTTTCTTGTATTATATAATTTTTTAAGGAAAAAATCATCCAAAACGTCCATTACATTTTATTAAATAAATTTTTTTATCCTTCACTTTTAAAATGGTAACTTTACACCCCTTACAAAATTAACTCGGTAAACTTTGGTCTCAATCTAAATTTTCGACCACTTTTTATTATGAATCAATTACGTGACCCATACATGTTGTTGTTACAGAGACAAAAGATTAGATCTCATTTGCAATTAAATAAATGATCCGATTTATATTTATTTTTGCCTCTCAAAAAGTGGAATATGACTCGAACCATATTCATTTTTCTTAAAAAGTAGGATTTGACATAATTCATATTCATTTTTACTATTAAAAGAGTGAGATTTGACTTTTTTTGTACATAAAAATTATTGCATGTGAATCATATGCAGAATTCATGCTAAAAAGTCATAAAAAAAATCAATGTAATATGAAAATTATAGGCTGCAAATCAATGTAATCTACCGTCCAAAGGTCATGGGCGCAAGTATACAAGAATAGTTGAAGTCAATATCTTTTCCAAGAAGTGCAAATTCTTCAATCAATTTTTCTATTTGACAATTTGAATCGTCCTACGGCCAAAAGAAACAACTAAATACTCTGTAAGACAAAAAACAGTATGAAAAATAACTTTTCTTGATATGCAAAAAGCTTGCCACCAAGAAATTTCATTTACTGTCATATATTCTATGTCATGTGAAATAGACACACTTAAGCATGATGGATTATTCGGACAATAATTATTTGCCTATTTTAAGAACAAATAACTACTCAATCAGACAAATTTCAGAGTTGTAGTTTTCCAATTCAAATAGTTTTGGATACACTTGTTTCTATCGCAAAAATTCTTTGATTCATGTACTGCATCTTACTATTGTTCATGGAACTAGCACTTACTTGCTATCAGAACTGTACGTTGGCCATTCTCGGGTAATGTTGCCAAGTTCTTTCCACTATGTTGTGCTATGCATAGATATCTTCTTGCATATGGAAATTTTCTACACTCCATAAAAGTACTGCACATCTAGGCGCTAGCATAAATTTATGATTACATGAATATATAAATCGAGTTGCTATTTTCTTTGTATTAGATAACAATCGTATGTGATATTATTTGAAAAGCAATTGATGAAACAAACAAATTTAGAGGAAACAATTAAATTAGAGCTTTCTATGCATTAATCTTCTTAGATAATGTCTCTTATTTACACAAGAATTTGTAGCAGTCCATGCCATTAATAATTGATACCTAAAAAATTATTAGGCCTAGAATTCACCTCTATTAAGACCAAGCAAGCACACGTACAATAGAAAATAGTCTCCAACTTTATCCATATATCTATCTAGTATCTACCACACGCGCTGCATCTATGACAACATGTCACTGATCAGAAACTCAGACATATGGCGATAAGTTTTCCGTGTCATATGAATTCCATCCAATATATGTACTTTTCAAGCTCCCAACAAACTGGAACTCCAGGTGTTCCGCACATCCCCAGACCATCATAGTTGTAAATCCCTCCAATCCCACAACATGATTTTAATAAAGATCCTCGGTCGAATCCAAGAAACAGAGCACGAGTAAGAACTGATTCCAAAGCCTCGTAGTAATCAGCGTAGGCAACAACCACTTTGGATTATCCCTTTTCAACTTTTGCCTCAAAGAATGAAGAGCCCTTTGAAGATAGTTGCTGTGGTACCTTGCAAACTCGTTTACCTCTCTCAGGCATCCCATCCGATCTTATGCTTCTGGATCACGATTCGCAAAACGAGTCAATAAATTAGGATGCAACCAATAGGAAAATTTCCTAAAAGCATAACACGAACAGCCCCAAGTCTAACAACTTCTCTTACCCATTGATTGTCACACTTACGACGTGAGAACATAAGTCCTGACTTTTTGTATTGATTTTCCATTGATGAAAGCATGGTTATAATCGTTACCCCCAATTTCTCCCATCATTATTAAGGATCTTTGAAGCCTGGCAGCACAATCCGATGGGGAACCATAGACAGATTTGAGATGATCTTTAAACCATTGCATCTGAGCACTGAGAGGAGTATTGGAGATAGGAACTGGAATATTTCGGTCTAGAAAAACGAGGTGTCGAGAGCTGTGCTCCCCGCTACAGCAAAGTCTACTCCCAGATTGAATACTCCAATTCTTTTCAGGTAGAGATTCAGGAGAGGAAGATTAAGACCTCTGGAGATGAAATCGATCATGAGAAGGCCGTTTGAGCATCGACCAGTGGTCAATGGAAGGAAGTCATTCCATATGGCAAGCGAGATGAGGAAGATACTGAAACTAAGCCACCCTTGAGGATTATGTTTCCCGTATCTGAGATTGAATCGCCGAACTGGTAGATATGTTGGAAAGGACAAATGTTTTCTTGAGCCGTGAAAACTGTAAGACTGACTATGAGAAAGCAGACTAGAATGAAGAGGCAAGGTTTCAAAGTAAAATACATAGTTGCTTGTCTAGCCATTGAAGATATCGACAAGTTTTGAGAAAACAAAGTATGAAGAAATCAGCGAGGATAATAAACTTATATAGAATAAGTTGAGAGGAGTTACATAGAGGAATAGGATTTCTCCCGACTCCTAAAGTGAAGAGGAGTTATAGTTTTGAAGATATGTTATTAATGAATCACTGCACATATAAGGCATCAATATAAGCAAAAAAATCCTAGTTGGGATAGGACTGTGGGAACGAGATTTGGCCGCTTCAGTTCGTGTGCACAAATTCAATAGCAACTATTGCTTGAGAAGGTGTTAGAACTTAATAGGAAGTTCGGATCAAGAGAATCACTATTGACAAAATAAACCAACTTATGAAGATTTCTAATTAATTTTTAGTTGTTTTATCAGATTCAAGTTTTTAGTAGTTTTCCTGTTTAGCAACTAATATTTTATTAGGTAATTACATGTGTGATTGTCTCTTATTTAACAAGTCTTGTAGATTATAAATAAGAGTAATAGGTAGAGTACTATTTCTCAAAAAAGAGAATCGGTAGAATTTGTTAGACGTCATTGTCGTAAGAATTTTTTCTTTGTAACAATAATTTGAATTGTTTATTCTTTTCTTCTCTCTACATATTTTGTGTGATTATTTAGTTCCTTCAATTCTATAACCTTACATGTTATATTAATTGAACTAGTTAATTTGAGTTCTACTTCTACATGACAGTTTGTCTGGTGTGAACTATGCAAAATCTTTTATTGGTTTACCCACTGGTCGAACCAAGATTTCGATTTCGAGGGCAATGAATAAAATAACCAATTCTCACCACCAATAATAAAGAGGATATCCATTAAAGGATGAATACAGATTTAGATCTCTTTATCTATACTCTATCTTCAAAAGTACCATGAATTTTGTTAAATTTAGAGTGTAAGTAAAACTCTCAGTTATAAGTAATGGTTGAGATACGCTCATCCTTTATAATTTTATGAGTATCATGGTTTCTCGATATGTTTAGAGTGTAATTAAGCATAATGCATCTTAATTTTGAATAGTGGCCTAATGAACTCTTCCTTCATAATTACATTAGCTGTATTTCGATAGCTGCAGGAGTTACATGAATAAAACATCCTTCTCCCAGGCCTGATTAAGTTTGGGTTATAGAGACAATGACCCAATCTAAAACTCTCTACCTACCCATGCACAGTTTCTCCAATTTTTTTTCTATCTAAAATTTTTCATTAGTCACAATGGCAAGATCATCAAACAAAATTAGAATGAAAAAGAAGGTTCCCTTGGAACAAAATAGTCCTTGCTACTTGTTGCTTGATTTGTGTGAAAAAAGTAGACTAAGATTAGCCAGCAAGTAATTTAAAGACATATGCAATAATACCACGGTGAAGGAAAAGAAGTTTAAAAAAAAGAGCATAATATCCTCCCTTTTCACACATAGATCTATAAATAATATACATATAGATCTATTCCTACTCCTACATAATGGAGAAGGGGACAAATCCAACTAGATTATAGATAGCGTCATTCGAGAGTTCACATCCACTTTTTTAATCCATTAATTTTAGTTTTGATTTTTTTTAACGGGTGTTTAATGACACACGTTAACTCATTTAAATTTCATCCAATCTAATTTATATATGCACATACTAATAATAATTATTTTTTCTTGTATTTATATAATTTTTTATGGAAAAAATAATCCAAAACGTCCTTTACATTTTATAAAATGAATTTTTTTGTTCTTTACTTTTAAAATAGTAACTTTACACCCCTTACAAAATTAACTCGGTAAACTTTGGTCTCTGTCTAAGTTTTCAACTATTTTTTATTATGAATCCATTACGTGACCCATACATTTATTTTTTCAGAGACAAAAGATTAGATCTCATTTGCAATTAAATAAATGATCCGATTTATATTTATTTTTGCCCCTCAAAAAGTGGAATATGACTTGAACCATATTCATTTTCTTAAAAAAGCTGGATTTGACCAAATTCATATTCATTTTTTGCCATTAAAAGAGAGAGATTTGACTTTTTTGTACATAAAAATTATTGCATGTGAATCATATGCTGAATTCATGCTAAAAAGTCATCGAAAACTTAGGTTGAAACCAAATTTTTGCGAATGTAATCCAAAATCAATGTAATATGAAAATTATAGCCTGCAAATCAATGTAATCTGCCGTCCAAAGGTCACGGTGCATGTATACAAGAATAGTTGAATTAGTATCATTTTCAAGAAGTGCATGAAGCATTATTGCTTGAAGCTTTAGCAAACCTGTTACCGTAATGGGCAATGATCCAGTCAACTGATTATTGTATAGACTTAAGATAATCAAATTGCTCAAATTCCCAATTCTGTCAGGAATGCGGTCCCTGAGTCCACAACCGTAGGCATACATTGTTTGTAGTGAGGTAGAAAGGTTCCCAACAGAATCTGGAAGAATACCATTTAGTGGATTGCTACTCACACTTAATTTTCTCAAGTTCTTGGAGTTTGCTAAGGAAGAGATGAAGCTCAACTCTGGGTAGGAAGAGTCACAGACTAAATTGTTGCTAGTTAAGTCCAGCACTTGAAGGAGCCTTAGATTTCCAATGGAAATGGGAATCGGCCCGTAGGAAGAGTCACAGACTAAATTGTTGCTAGTTAAGTCCAGCACTTGAAGGAGCCTTAGATTTCCAATGGAAATGGGAATCGGCCCTGTGAATTTATTGTCAGACAATATTATGAAATAAAGTCTAGAAGAATTTGAGATGGACTCGGGAATATCTCCAACAAAGTTATTATCGTTCAAATAAAGTTCTTCTAAATTGGGAAGCCCATAAAACACTGTTGAAGGAAGAATGCCTGAAAGTTTATTTCCTGCAAGCGACATCAATTTTAGCCTGGAGAGGTTGAAGATCTCCACTGGTATGGAACCACTCATGGTATTCCACCCCAAGTTGAGTTTTTCCAGATTGTGTAAGTTGCTGATCTCTCTTGTTTATTTCGCCTGGCAGAAATGTATGAGCTTATATGTAAATGAACTATTATCCTCATAGTAGATCTAAAGATCATCAAAATAAGTAACTGGTGTGACTATGAATTGTCTCATGTACCTGTTATGTTGTTATCAGATAAGTCTAAGAACTTGAGCATGGTCAAATTTGCAAGCTCTTTTGGAATTTCACCTACAAAATGCAAAACTTATGGAACATGAAGTCCACATCTTTTGATAAAACTTGGGAAAGGAACATAACAGTTACTAAAAGACAGAAAATAAAAATAAACAAGAGCGTGCAATGGGTATACTGCTAAAATTTAGTAATCAGAGCAATGTGTGAAAGCTATAGTTACTATATAGAAAAAACATGTTAGCAATCTAACTCCTACAAACTCAGGAGTAATAAACACTACTCCTTTGACTCAAGAATCAAGATCTTACCTGTTAAACTGTTCATGGCGAAATATATCACCTCAAGCTTCTTCAGGTTCCCTATTTCTTTTGGTGTATTTCCAGTGAATTTGTTGAAGGAAAAAGACAGAGCCTGAAGTTCTGAACATTGAGCTAAACTTGATGGTATTTGACCACTGAATTTATTCATTGATAGGCCAATGAATCTCAGTCTCGGAAGATGAAAACACATGTAATCCGGAAGACTTCCAGACAAGCTGTTAACTCCCAAGGAAATCATTTCCAGTGAGGAAATGTTGAAGATCTCTTCCGGGATTTTGCCTTCAAGAGAGTTGTTAACAAGGATTAAAATTGCTAGCCTTGACATGTTGGAGATGGAAGGCGGCATAAGACCGGTGAAGCTGTTGTTTCTGAGAGGGAGAAATTCCAGTCCTTGAAATGATCCAAACCAGTTAGGAAGCAATCCATTGAGGTTGTTGACGCCCAAATTCAGTACTTTTAATCGATTCAATTGAGCAAGTTCTGGTGGCAGTTCTCCATGGAAATTGTTCCTACGCATGTCAAGAGAAACGAGAAATGACAGGTTTCCCAACTGGGGAGGTAAGGTTCCACTAAGACCCATGTTTGAAATGTTCAAAGCAATCACTCTACGATGGCCCGAGCTGCAGGTAACCCCAATCCAGTCACAAACAGGCGAGGCAACAGACCAGTTTTTTGCCAAGATTTCTTGAGGGTCAAATGAAATTTGAGCTCTCAACGCAAGAAGAGATGATTGATCAGTGTCGATGTTGGTTGAGGTCAAGGCTAAGCAACCTGGAAGAAAACACAAGAAGAGAAGTAGAATTGTTCCCATGGTTGTGTGCAAGTTGCGAGCGGGGAAGGACGGTATAATTCAATGGCCAAAGTAAAAGGGATTTCTACCAAATTTTTTATTTCATTGAAGTTCCCTTGGAGCATATTACTCTATAGAGATGACGAGTGATGTAATTAGCTATGTTGTATAAATATTGATCGTCGAATGTTGAGTACTACAATAAAGTAATTTGCTATCTGATACTTGTTCACATAATTCACTGTAGCAAGAAATGATATTTGACTTTATCAAATCTCTTGGTTCTTTATTTGTGCACTGGGCCATATTCTACAACAATTGAAACTTGTAAGTTCTGAGTTGAGCATTCTTGGACATTACCTGTTTATTTTTATTTTTATTTTTTATTTTTAATCATAAGGGAAATATCAGTACTCAGTAGTCACTTTCTCATTGCTGCCCTGCCCTGCACAGGCTCTACTTAGGCAGGCAGATACATTGTGGATCCGGGGCGGGAACGGTTGTCAGAGCAACCGTTCCGGAAAGTGTAACACCATTTGCACATGGTATAATATCAGTTCTGTACAAGGTGTAACAATAAAACAACAGCGAGTAACACTAGAACAATATTTTTGTGGGTCCCACATGGCGTGAAAATCGAGTTACAAGGAGTGATCTGAGCCGCACAAATTTTTTTGGCCTAATCATGGCCGTGAACCTTCCGGAACGACCGTTCCAGCCCCTCCTCCATGCACTGTCGTCCTAAATAATTACACTTTATCCCCTGTGATTTAGTATTTTTTTCACATAACTCCCATATAATTTCAAAATCTATACATAATTCTCTTATGATTTGGATTAAAGTATTAAAGTAACGGAAATGATCATTCGTAACGGAGTCATTTAAAATGTCAAAAATAATCTTATGTAAAGTTGAAAATTATTTATTAACCATAGGGAGTTAAGTGTATATTTTGAAAATTATAAAAGAATTATATGGTAAAGTATTAAACCATAAGGAGGTTACATTGTAAAACATAAAATCATACAGGGGTAGTGGGTCATGTATTTGTAAGGGTAATTTTGATATTTTTAAAGATTCCATTACAAATGATCATTTCCATCACTTTGACACTTTAATCCAAACCATGAGGGGGTTATGTATAACTTTTGAAACGATAAGGGATTATATAAAAAAATAAACCATAGGGAGTAAAGTGTAATTTTCCCTAAAAACAATAATGTTTGTAATTATATACTACTTAAGTGATTGACAAAATCAAGAAAAGAATCCATGACTACATGATTTTGCATTTATTGACAGCTACATGTGGTAATCATGCAACTTCTGGTCATTTTTCAGACGTCAAAAAATTATTGTCATTTTTAGATAGTTCTCATTTTGAAGCTGTTCTTAAGAAACAGAAGAAGATGCATTTACGAGAGACAACATATTACAGGAGTATTAGTATCTTTTCTGCAGCTGCAAACTCACAAGCAAGACATTAATTAGCTTTACAAGTAATTGTGGAGGGATTTCTCCTTAGAAATTTTAGTTCTTGCATTATTTAGATTCTGTAATTCTCTGCTCCAAAAGAAAAGAAAAGAAAAAAATTATTCTGTTGTTCTTTGCCCAGCAGAAAAAATATGAGTATGACTTAAGCTTTTTTTTTTTTTTCTAACCATTTTAGTAAAAGCATGGGAAAGTATGTCTAAATAATCATTTCTTGCTTAACAAGATTGAACTTTCATAGTTTATAATAGCTACTAATAAACAAATTAAAAGCGTATAATATATAGGAAGTATTTATTTAAACTGCTTCAGAGCACTGAACTTTCCCATTCTATTTATGTGTAAGGTTCACAAGCTCCAAAGCAGCACAAAGTAGATGTCATTAAGTTTTTATGTGTTTATTTTTCTACATACAATCTAAATTACAAGAGGAAACAGGAAGGCCTAAATTAGTAAATAGGAATCTTGCAAGTAAAAGAATTTTAACTTGTAAAAATGATAAAAAAAAGTATATAGCTAATAAAGTCATTAATTCTCTAGTTTAGGAGAAGGTAAGGACCGAATATCAAATTTGGTGGGGTAAAAACTTATTAAAAAAGTTCTTAGAGTAAAAATTCATAATATATAAAACTTTGGAAAGTCTTAGGAGGGCACCAAAAAAAAAAAAAAAAAAAAACAAATTGTGTGACAGTGCTTTGGCATATGAGTGTAACACTTCTCAACTAAGCAGAAAAAAATGATAATACTAATGCTTTTTTTGTTGGGTTAAATACCAAAAACCCCCCTGTGATTTGCCTAATGTTCACTTTACCTCCCTATGGTTTGAAAACCTACAATTTGACTCCCTGTCGTTTCAACTAAAGTAAAAGTCTAACGGAAAACATCTAAACTAACGTCTGAAAGGAAAATATCAAAATTGTCACTCTATAAGGGTTTTGGGTTAAGTACCAAACACCCCCCTGTGGTTTGTCAAATGTACACTTTACCTCCCTATGGTTTGAAAATATACAATTTAACTCCCTGTCGTTTCACCTAAAGTGAAAATCTAACAGAAATTCCGTTAAATACACTTTAGTTGAAACGACAGGGAGTCAAATTATAGGTTTCCAAACCATAGGGAGGTAAAGTGAACATTAGGCAAACCACAGGGGGGTTTTTGATATTTAACCCTTTTTTGTTTTACATGAGATCTTTACATTTGTTTTCTTCTTCTATTTATGTATTTATTTCTATATTTTTCCAAAGCTGGAGAACATTTTTAATTGGTGGTGATAAATAACGATGATTATTGCATTAAATCTATTTCCTTTGAATGAGATATTAGAATGACTAACCAAATAACACTTTTCAAGATTTTGGTTGAAGATCTAATGAGCTATTTTTTTTTTTTTGCTCCTAAATTGCAACTTCGCCTTTGCGTATCAAAACTTTTTTTGCATACAATATCCCATTACACTAATGTCTGTCTGTTAATGAGTTGGGATGTATAGAGTGAATTGCAAGTATCATCAACTACTTAGTCGCAATTGGCAAGATAAAAAACATATCTCAGCTCTTACTGAACCGGAGATTCAATACCAACATCGCACTTTTCTTTTTTTTTTTTTTTTTAAAAAAAAAATTTCTAAGTAAAACAATACCTCAATTAGGGAATTTTAAAAGCAAAAATTGTTTTTCAATAGTATTAAAAATCTGCTAATATTTTCTTAACAACATCTATATCGATCTTCTTTTTCATTCTCTTTCCCATTTTTTAGTGTGTTAGAAGTATTAAAGTTTGAGTAAATCTTATATACACTGACTGACTGTATATACATTATTATCGTTGGATCTATGACATATCTATAAAAGTTGAATTTTACATATTTGTCATTCATCCAACGCTTGCAGGAAAGATTAATCGTTAAAGTTTGACAAATCATCTATTTCACTTGCATACAGTGGATTAAACTTAATTGTGAAAGTCATGTGGACAAACTTTTGACTTGGAGCATCGGTGGAGTTGTAATTTCACACGTCATACAAACTTAATTGCAGAAGATGTTAGAATTATGAAAAACTATAATTTTTCACTATGATTTTCATCTAATTGAAGAAAATATTTTTGATGCGTTCGAAGTATTAAAGTTTCACAAGTCATCTGTTTCACTTGCACACAATGGATTAAACAAAATTGCGAACGTCATGTGGACAAACTTTTGACTTCGAGTGTCGGTGGTGTTGTAATTTCACACGTCATACAAATTTAATTGCATAAGACGTTATTTTTCACTATGATTTTCATCTAATTGAAGAAAATAAACAATTAAAATTTTCCATTACTTATCTTACAACAGTACTCATACTAATCTCTCTTACCTTAAAAATTTTGCCCCAAATCATTCCTGAGGCAAATAATGCCTTATTTAACTTCAAGTAAAGTATTAGTGGTATAGTAACTTCTAATGAAATTATTAAGTGTCATTGATTTAATTTAAGAAACTTGAATGTGATAGATCACACCAAATTACTATCCGAATCAAAAAAGAAAAACAAAAAAAGGAAAGGACTACTACAATTAGTTAGTTGAAAAGTGATCAATAGCGTCACTGTAGCCGTCAAATACTTGCCGTCTAGTACATTCACCCCTCAACTGCGAGTTTGCATTCACTCGTAAATCTTCCATAATTTCTCCTCTCCTTTTTCTCTTCTGCTCTTAATCTATTGTACGGACTCAAAAATCACTCCCCTCAAAAATTTTCTAGTACTAAGCCACTTGTGTCCCCGTAAATTCTTATCTCATTTCATTCCTTTCTTTTTTTTTTTCCCTGCAGCTATTCTTTCTGTAATGGCAATGAAGCGCAACCGAGTTGACACCACAGAAGAGTTGACAGCATCGTTTGCAACCAAGCAACAGCAACAGAAACAGCCAACAGAGGATCAAACTAGGGTAATGAGATTTTTTTTTTCTCTTCGGCCTATTTGTCAAATAAGTTTTTTTCAAGTTTGTCTCATATCAATTTTTTAACAACTTTAACTATAGTAATTTCAAAAATTTTTAACCTACACACTTTTAAATACCCGAAACACACAAAAAAAAATTTCCTTTCCTCCTTTCTTTTACCACCCAACCCACCACCACCTACTATGCCGGTCAAGACCGACCATCACCGGTTCCGGCACCAGCAACCTCTTCCGGAGCCGGCCATCTCTCTTTTTTTTCTTTTCTTTTTCTTCTCCCTCTCCCCCTCCTCCCCTCTCCCCCGCCACCTCTCTCCCCACTCTCCCTCTGCCGCCACCCTCCCCCTCCCCCTCTGTCCGATTTGGTCTCGTAGACACGAGACAGGGGGAGGGGGAAGAGGAGGAGAGGGGGAGAGGAAGAGGGAGAAGAAGGGGAGAGAAAAAGCAAAAGAAGAAAAAGAGGGAGAGGTCGCAGGAGAGGGAGAGGGAGAGGGGGAGGGGCAAGGGAGAAGAAGAAGAGAGGAAAGAAAAGAAAAAAGAAAGAAAGAAAAAGAAAAAGAAAGAGAGAGAAAAAGAAAAGAAAAAAAGT